AAATAAACTATTTTACTAACCATGTATTGAGCAAAAATGAATTGAAAGTAAGCATTGTTATTGAGACTACCAAAAAATATCAGTTTTTTAAAGGACTCAATAGTAGACCTAGGGTTTTCTAATGTGCTCAGGGCTTTAATATGTTTGTGTGAAAGTTAGTAAAACAATTTAGTAAAGTTTTCGAAAAATAATTACGGCTTCACAATCGCTCTCTGTATTACCTCGAAAAGTCTTTCATTAGTTATTTTCCTCGGTCATTTTTACCTGATGTAGTAGTTGTCGTTGTTGTGGTCGTTACTGTTGTCGTGGTCGTTGTCGTTGTCGCGGTCGTTATCGTGGTCGTTGTCGTGGTTGCTGTCGAGGTCGTTGTCACTGTTATAGTTGTCTCTGTCATTGTGCTTGTTCTCGGCGATGCTTCAATGATATAGATATATTGAAAGTGTTGACTTCCATTCTACTCATTTTTTTCTTATCTCTTGTACTATGCATCTCATTCTAATGATTTTCTGGTCAGTTATACATGTCTTCCAAAAACGTTTTTGGTTATGAATTGGAATGCACTAGATTGATGATATTCTTTTGTTAAAATATTCGGATAGTATGAGACGTTTTTCTTCTGTCAAGAGATATATGTGCTAGCCAAAACAAAATATTCAATCAAATAGATTTGTTTGAGTAGTTCAATCGTTGGCCAATGATCTTATGGATCCTTTACATAGAAATAAACGAATTTGTAAACCGAGCTATGTCACTGAGTTGATACTTGTGTCTCTTGTTAGGTGGCTACATTGAAAGGATTTTTAAATTTCACACAACTAGCACCCAAATGAATATGATGTGAAAAATCAAAAGTATTCTTGCACGATTCAAATAGTGCTACATGTATTTCGAACTATGAAGATTTCAGAACTTTACCAATTAGGCTGTTATCAATAGTTGTTGGAAAAACCAAGAATTTGACAAATATTCAGCTGACGAAAGATATGTTGAAGAAATTTTAGTCGCCCGAATTATGTGCTATTTAGTGATACCAAAACTTTTGTTGAGAATTTCAAGTAGCGTGGAAAATCATCTGATTGAGAATTAAGCTAATAAATAGTGATATCAATATAAAAGTCCATGTTTTTTGAATAATCTACTCAAACGATTCCCTAAAAACAATACATTATAAACTCGTCTGATGTTGATACGACTAATGCAAAAAACTTATGAATCATCGGTAATAATTCCTTCGATAAAAATCATATTCAGTAATATTTTCAAACGATTTAACATATAAAACGAGCGCCCTCTGCACATCTCAGTTTGAGAGTTATTCAAACTTTTCCAAGATCTATTCTTATCAGAGAGAGCCTGTGGAGATGCCGATTGTAGATATATCTATGAGTGTCAACTATTTTATTTTGCAGAAACGAAGAAAATCGTTCCATTCAGTTGAAAAGAATCCAAGCTTTCTCAGGATTGTGGAATAATCTCTACTCCATTCTCGCCAGCCATTTCGTATATAAACTTTCTTTTGACTGTGTGAGCAGGGTGTAGTTTTTGGTGTAGATGTTTTGTTCGTTAGTACTGACGTTCACACTTAAACCTTCTTCATCTTTGATGTGTGGTGAAAATTTTCAGAGACATTCGTCAATATTTAACAGATATTTTTCTGATTCCTAATAGGAAAACTACGCTAGAAAACGAAACATTAAACTTAAAACAAGTAATATCCGGACGTTCTCTGGACATTATTCATCGTTATACATACTTTTTTTGATTTGTTCATGGAAGTAAAGCGTCAATATCGCTGCTAGAGCGACTCCGGCTACTAAAGCTCCTACGATAATTCCACTAAAAAGTGGCCTACAAAAATGATTCGTTCTAAAATTAACACATTGACAAGAAACGAAATCAAACAATAAACATTTTACTTCGCTAAGCGCAGCTTGTTCTCCGTGGTTGTTCGAGAATATGCTTCTTCGGGCCAAATAATTCTTTGTTTAGTCATGTTTTCAATCAAATCTCGACTGAACAAATCGCTACACTTACTTCAATAAGCAATTCAACTTCATCTATTGAAATTGAAGAGCTATTGAATTTTTCGGCGTTTTTTTGTATAGTAGTCGAAACTTTAATATTCATGCCTGACTATAGATTTATTTTTGAAACCCTAAGGGTACAAAGAATACCCAGAAAGCATGAAAAGAAATAATTGAATCTTTGAATGTATTAGGCATACTTCGGACGGTTGCTCTAGAAAAATGCAATAACATTTCAGATAAAAAATATTAAAAAGAGAAACGCAAAAACGTTGAATGATTACAGTAGATGTGAGCGTAAATGTAGGTATAAGCTTGCATATACATGGGTGTGAGTCTGGTTGCGAGGTGTTAGATTGGATGTCTTTTCCATAACGCCCACACACAGAGCAACAGTAAACAACTCTCATCTATCTCGCTTTCAATGATCTACTGTGTTCTCAACAAATAAATATGATCAGATACATGGAATTATAGATTCTCAAAAGATTCAAATATGATATTTACAGTCATGTTAAAGATTAATTATTCTATGGTTAGTATGTCACACAAATTCTATTATTGATTGAGTCATATTCGCTAAAAACAAAAGACATCATACTCAGTTTTTTTTAGGTTCGAGATTTCGATATCAATCTCGGAACTTTTTAAAATTCTACTCGAAAAATCTGCAACTCAACAAAGACTTCAACCAGAAAATGTGAAACTAGAAAAACTTCATATAATAGAATGAAACTTTTAAATCTAACAAGAATCGATCTGAAGAATTTTCTTGAATATCGAGATAACTAATAACAAAAATAAAATGACAAATAAACAAAACACATCGATATGGTAGAAAATCTTAATTTGTTTCAACCGATTAGAATAAAATGAGTGTGTCTAAAAAGTAGGTATTCTTTATTCATTTCAACGCCGAGAAAAAATCATTTGCGATGGAAGAACAACAAAAAAGTTGCACTGCATCATGTTTTTAATCAATATTTTAGCCTACTGGTTTCGTGAAATGTATGAGTGGTTAATTTTAACTAAAACAGAAAACTAATTTTAATAATTAGTTCAATGATGAGTTTAACTTGAAAAATTAATGATGTTTATTTCTATATTGGATCGTCTCTAAAGTGAATATTAGCGAATAGCTATTACCATAAATATTGCTGTGATTTTTCGATTTTTTGATATATAAAATTCGCAAGGTAGGATAATCGAAGAGTTTCCTATTCAAATTTAAAAATGGACTGCCACAATTTTTCTTGAAAAGAAAGAAGAAAATGTCTGGTCTTATTCACCTCATAGTAAGTCTAAATAAATACAAATATAAATCGGATCATTTTGATTCGTTTGAAACTATCGTACAATTTGGTATCGATAGTAATGCTTTTTATTGAATTATTTGGCATAATGGTCGTTTCAAAATAGAAACCACTCATCAAATAATGACAACATAATTAACTATATATGTCACTAAGATGGAACTATTTTTCAAAGCCGAAGGAAAAGATTCGAGAAGTGTAACGTGTTATGCTAGAAACATACATAAATCTAAAACTCTAGAAGATTTTATAAGTAGTATTTCTTTCAACAATTATCGATAGCTAAAAAGAAAACATTCAACTTTCTTACATCGATTTTAAATTATATAAGAGTTCTATGGAACATATTTATTCGTGTCCAAAATCTGATTTTCACCGTCTGAAAAATATTTGGGTCTATCCCCAATAGTCATGTGAAATGGTAGAAATGGAAATCGAGCTCATTTCGCAATGTCCTACTTACTAATATTCAAAACAATATTGGTTAAATAGAAATGATATAAGTTGTTTTGCATTTTGTATATGCATTTATTTTAATTTATTTCTTTTTTTGACACAAAAAAATTAATCACCATGAATCAAGTAGGAAGAAACTATTTCATAGGATAAACATTCTTGCATGGTGTAAATATTGATCCATCTACTCACAGAAAAACCGCACAATAGAGAATGACTCATTATGGAAAAAAACAACCAAAGGAAGTTTCAAAAGGGTACTTAAAATGAACCATATCAATTGAATTTATTTGCGTCAAACAGTATACCGATGATTAACGTGTTCTTATATAAATACTACCGATAAGTATACTGACTGGCAGACATAAACACTATTATAACAGGTAAGTTATCGATTCATATGAAAAACTGATTATTTGTCTAAAGTCCTGTGTTTTATTATGCTTTTATATAACCAAAGTAGATTTTTCCATAATGTTCAGATCAACAGTTGATAATCCATCAATTAAATACCCTTTTGTTTCAATTTAAATTGTTGAGAAATTATAGCCATGTCATAAACTAGACAAATTTCCTTAAAAAACACCTGCAAAATGACGATAGAGATTGTCAAACTATTTAAGAAATTCCTTGACGAATCTAGTATGATTACTAGAACTACTGAAAACTTTAATATATGATGTCATTTATCGTCATATTCGCATAAGTCTCATATAAAATGACGAGAGAGCGTATGAATTTTTTTCTAGACTATCTCATTAATGAAAAAAAAATTGTTTTTCAATCATAGTTAATTAGTGAAATAATTGCTGAAATTCATTGACATAATAAAGAAATATAATTTAATGTTTTAAATCATAGTTCCTGTTGAAATTAATTTCGCCATTATTTTGTATTTCTTTAAAAAGTACATTTCACTATAGTTCTTGTTGATATAAATATAAATAAAAATAAAATAATTTATTTTATAAAATAAATAGTTGCTGTGTCATTGTTCGAGTAATTTAATTATTTATTTTATTTCAATTATCTAGTTTAAAAAATCATCAATTGATAACAATGAATTGACGATTTTTCGAGTATGATGGTTAATTTTGAACATGTGTGTTGTAGATGTGCGTTTTCTCTTTAGTCATAGAGACATCCATTATAACACCAGTTAAAAAATATTTTTTTTAGATACAAGATGAAAGTAAATATTAGATTGATGGTAATTAATAATGTGATCATGGTATGCATCGCATTTTATGCCTCACCAATAATTCGAATAAATGGTAGATCGACGGATAAATTTGCTTCTTTAAAGCAAGCAGGAAACATATTAAATGTAGCAGAACCCGGTAAAGTTTGTTCTTGTTTGTCTTCTATGATTTAATAATATATATTATTTATTCTAGCAAATTGGGCTAATTATATAAATCCAACGTCAACAACTGGATCAACTGGTGAAGCTAATGTTGGAAGTGGAACACTCGCTAGTACTATGGCTAGTTGGTCGATTCCAGATCAATTTCGTGATCAAGCTGTTCAAAGTGTCAATTTATTAGTGCTTGCTGCAACAGAAGGAACTTATACAGCTCAAGCATTTCTATTTGATACTCAAGCAGGTGCTTCATTAACAACATTATTAGTTGCTACAAAGAAACTTGATTCTCCAAGTGATCCAAATTCACCAGTTTCAGTTTCCTATGTAACAATTAATTCAAATGCAGTTGTCAAACAACAATACACATACTATACAGTACGAGATTGTCATACGTGTCCAAAATGTTTATGGACAAGTGACTGTTGTTGTCATGATGAAACAAAATCTTCACCACGTGGGCTTACACCAGATGAATTAAATATCATAAACCAAAAAATGAGAGCCGATCAGTTTTCTTGGTTTAATCAACAACCATTGAACAAGGCACTTAAAAAACGTGCTTTATTGAGATATAATTCTAATAATCAGATTATATCTTTGACTGAAGCTATTGAAAAATTTCTTTCAAGTAATATTGTTAAAGCTGAAATATTAACATCATACAATGATTCAATTCTATCAACATTACAATCTCATATTTCATCATTAAAATTATCAAGTCAATCATTGAAAATGACTAAAGTAGAAAGTCAAAATCTTCCTATAGTTCTATCAACATTAACAAAAGATTACGGTTATGAAGATATTAATAATAATGAAATTTTCATGGAACAATTAAAAACAGGAAGATTTTCATATGAAAATTTATTTACTAGTACAACTGATCTCTATAATAAAACTACTACTATGAAATATATTTGGTTAATAGGTCAAACTCTTGATAATTCAACATATTCAATTAATTTTATTTTTGTAAACATTACTTCTCAACGATTAATTCATACATTATTATCAAATGATACAAATATAGATGAATCTGATTATATGGTTGATAATAATAAACAGTTAAAAATTGTACGTACTTCAGTACTAAATGATCTTGGTGAATTTCTAAATGAAGATCTTTTAACATTAATTACACCATGGCAATTAAAAACAACAAAAATAGCATTGAATATTTTACGTTTTATTGCTGCTAGTACACTTATTCCACAAAAAAATCGAATGTTATCCTATTTTAATTCTGAAATAATATCAACAAGAATAAATGGCAACAATATTTATCATTCTCAATCACGAACTATTGCAGAAAAAATTCTTGCTTTATCAAAAGCAGTTTCAGCTGCTGCTACTGCTTGGAAAGATATTGTAAGTGCATTTAAATCAAGCAGTTCTACGACAATTACACGTATTGTACGATTTGGATTTACATATTTCTCTCAAAAATCAACAGTTTTAAAAGCAATTGATATACCAGCTGATAAAGCAACAGAATTTATCAATGCAGTTATTATTGATTACAATTTACCATCAAAAGGTAGTTTTATGCTTGGTTTAACATATTCAGCTGATTTTGCTTGGGATCGTATTGATTTTCTTTATTCACCAGCAAACAATGGAATATATCGTTCTTTAACATTGTTCAAAAATGGTGATAGCACAACCAATACTGCTTCATTTTTCATTGTTGATATTGATGCTGGTTGGCAATTAGCACCTGATTTATTAATAATACAAACATCAAAAAGTTATCTTGGTGGTCTTTTCGAAAGTAATAAACAGTCAATACAAGAAGTACCACATGTTTTAACTATGGATGAAGCTGTCAAATTACAACAGTTCTTTATGCTTGTAGCTATGGGTAATTTAGCTTCTACAATAGGTGCTAATGTTACTATACCACAGTTGGATTAAACTGTCCAATTAGTATACTATATTGATTAAATTTGATCATTTTATTGTCATCTATAAGATTTTATCCCTGTCTTTCTTCATTTTAATCGAGATACGAATTTTTTTTTTCTTTTATGCAGTAATTTTATTACAGCACAATAAACACGATTTACAATCGAATAAAAACAAATGAATGCCTTTTAACATTTATCTTTCCACAATTTTTCTATAGATCTTGTTACACATTTTATACAGTTAACTCATATTGCAAGATTTCTCCAGTTATACTTTAGAATTGAAAGTAAAAAATAATTAAAAAAGCCTATTATTTAATGTAACAAGAATTTCGATGTATACTAAAATTGTTAGAACGCAATTCTCTAAGAAAAATTCTGCACTTCGAAATATTAGATTCGAAAGAACAATAGATAATCATACTGACCAAAAAAATAATATGAAGAAAAAAAGAATGCATGTATACGATCCAAAAACCAATTTCAACCAAGGAACATGTCAAACAAATGAAAAATAAAACGATATCCACAACAAGAAAAGGGGTCACAAATAGATTTATTGTGAATTTTGTTTTTATGTCTATCTTTGAATATACACATCACATCTATAATGCAAGTCTGAGTGTAACAATAATTATCGTTAAGAATTTTGATATTGCATTTTAAATTTAATTGACATGAATAAATTCGTATCAGTTAGTTTATCATCAATACATTATAGTTGATATGTATTCTGTTTTAGAACACAAGAAAAATCAAAACTCTTGCATCTCTTTATTGTTGAATGAGCTTTGTTCTTACTTATAATCGTAGAGTTCTTTTCTATGTAATGAATATTCCAACGGAATTTTTCCTATAAGGAATAGATTCTAAAATATCTCGTAAAAAGTTAAGATACTATATTAAAATAATATTGAAGCAGATCATAATGACTTATTATAAATCGATGAATATGCTTATTTTCAAATGAAATATCTATTGAAAAAAGAATTCATTGTTTCAAAGCGAAATTATTTTGTTTCTTGTTATCGAACATTTATATTTAAAATAAAATAGAAAGTGAAACATAATTATTCCAATTGAATATTATCATATTTGTCATTGAATGCTTTCATAAATATTTCATCAGCAAACTGTTCATCAGTAAATGTTTTCATTTCCTTGAGAAAATTTTCAAAGCCAGCTGGTGAATATAACATTATCATACGGGCCTGTTTTCCATTGATAACTTGAACAGCATGAGGTGTATTTGATGGAACATGAATTGTTGTTCCAGCTTGTGCAACATGTGTTTCCGTACCCAAACGAAATTCTACATCTCCTTCGATAATATGAAATGTTTCGGCATGTTTTCTATGGAGATGAAGGCCAAGTTTGAATGTCGGTTTCATTACATCTTCAGTAAGAGTAAACAGTCCTTGTGTTTGAGCTCCAGTTAAACGCACAGTAATTGTATCACTTTGCCATTCATAGACTGCACCTTGACCATTCTTTATAACCGTATGAGATATTGCAGGTGTATTTTTCGTTACTAAATTAAAAATAACATTTATTCAAGATGACACATTTACATAATCTAATGTATATTTTATTGTCAAGAAAAACAAAATGCATTGCCATGCTGACTATCATATTTAATTGATTATTTACTTTTATTTATCAAGATCAATAATAAAGAGTATCTGACGAACACTAACACGAGAGAAAAAATCTACATTCATCTCTAGCATAGAAATAATATGAAGAAAAAAAACATACAGTATTCGCATCAGTTTCGAAGAAAAGCGTACAAGATTTTGTGATAAACATACTTAAAAAGATTGAAAGGAATAGATTATTTTATATTTATTGAAAGATTAACAAAATCGATTGTTTCAAAAGATGACTATGCCTTTTTTAGTTATCAAGAATGACTGAACACAAATACTTTGTTTTTTCTTGTTAGTGTCTATTTAATTGAATTTATGATCTGAGCAACATTATCTTTAGTTTATTTCATTTTCTTGTTTTAGTAATAAAATCAAAAAACATCACTCTTATTTAATAGAAGTCAGATTCTCATTATTTTTTCTTTTGATTATTGTCATATACAGGTTTTTTTTGGTTTTGCTGAAATGCTTACAGATAAATCTAAAGATTTTGAAAAATACTTCACTAGAAACATAAAGATAAATAATTTTTGACAAATAATGCGAGAAAATACTCTTTACTTTGATGAAAATAAATAAAACCTTTTCTCATAATCATATACGTATATTAACTATCCTAATATTGATCGAATTATCAAACAATCAGGAAGCTAGACGACAAAACAGGATAATTTTATTGACAATTGGCAATATACTCTTACAAATTTATTGGTTGAAACAATTTTTTGAAAATTCTCCGAATTCAAATCGAAATGACAAGTCAATACGTATCTTCTCATATTCACTTTTCGCATTACAGAAAAACGAGATCTATAGAAACACTTTGTCGGAGATCATTTATCAGATGAAACTTACCTTGTAAATTGGCTGTTTCTTTTTGTTCTTCGAATGTTGTCAATTTAACAGGGGCAGTGTAGATTTCCACAGATAAAAATAAGAGAATTAAAATAATGAGCATTCTACAAAGAAACGCCATTCTATATGATAATTATAGTTTCTGTATTAGAAGCATTCACTTAGCGTCAATTAGTATATAACAATGAAGAAAAAAATATGTCTGACAATAATGCAAAGAATTTATTTAGAATAAGTTTAATTATTTCGAATTCGAAGTCAAATAGTGATAACAAACATATTGTCGTTTTATTTATGAACTTATCTTTTTTGAGGATTAATATCAAAATATCATATGTTATTGATGATATTTTAGTTATAATCTTTGAGCAAATGTTCTTATCTATTCTTATATGCTAGTTTAATTCACAATCATGTTTTCGTGTGGAGTTATAATTTTAAGATTTATTTCGCACTACCAAACAAAAATCACAACTATGATACGAATATGAAATTCTACCATCATCCTCAGAGATTTTTCTTTTCAACAAAATCTATTCAAGTTTATCAGATTAAACACAGGAACAAAACTAATAATCAACATGATAGATACAATCAATTAATTGATACATTTTATAAGTCTATACAAACGTTTATTGAACTTGAAGTCATCAGAGTGTCTTTTAAAAACCAACTAATACTTCTTTTAAAATCAAATACAACTTATAAATTTAACCATACTACCAATGACAAAATTACCGCAAATCGTATTTTTGATGGATATTTTCATGAATAGTCAACAAGAAACAACAGGAGATTTTCTGAAAACTTTTTAATCCATAGAATTTTGTAGAGCTCGTTACACTGATCATTTTGGGTAAAAAAATATTCAAATTTACTCAATAAATAACGCTACTACGTCAAAATATTCACAAGTATCAACTATTGCTCAGCAGCAGTCAGGAATAGTCGAATATGTCCGGTATTTTGACGTAGTAGCGTTATTTATTGAGTAAATTTGAATATTTTTTACCAAAATGATCAGTGTAACGAGCTCTACAAAATTCTATGGATGAAAAAGTTTTCAGAAAACCTCATGTTGTATCTTGTTGACTATTCATGAAAATATCCATCAAAAATACGATTTACGGTAATTTTGTCCTTGGTAGATAGATAATGCGTCGAAAACTATGCTTAAAAAAAAAAGAATATTTGATGTTTTTGACTGTAACCACGCTATTGAACAGTTCGGATTCTAAAGACCTCACATATGACAGTAAAGAAAATCTTAGACATATTCCACTCCATTAGCTATTTTGAAGAACAGATTTCGCATGAAATCATCTTTAACCAAAAACCATAGTATTTACGCGAAAAGCAACGGTTCTGCCAGCTGTTATCCTAGGTGTTATGTGTACTAATATTTATAACATATTATCTAATGATGATTGCAATGATTTCATCCCAAAATGGTAACTTTCTTCTATTGGAACATTAAGATGTTCATTATTTAACCCTGCTATGGAAGCTATAGCTCGAATTCACTAAAACTTCAGCAAAGTCAAGCCATTCCATGTCAGTTATGCTGATTCAACATATTTATCGGCGTAGTCTACCATAAGCCAACCGTACATTCTGAAGGTTCAAACTTAAAAGCGAAGAAAACTGAGTCTCATATTGAAAATATAACGATCGGTAGGATTTAAAATCGAAACATTCCTACCCGTAAGCACTATTGACTGCTTTCGACACAAGAAATTTTTTTTTAGAGTGAACAACTAAAAACTATATGTAAACAATTTTAGTGAAATACATTGTAAAACGAGGATCGATCAGCAGAAACCACTTCTTCAATTAGTTAATCTTTGGTCAGATACGTAGTACTTTTTCAACTTATAATCTTCTCATCAACGTTTCGATGTCTATGAGCCCAGATAATGTCTTTGAAAATTATTTCTTGTATTTAGCTCGTTTATGGTTCTCATGTTCGCAATAAAACATGATGTCTACAGATAGAATTCAACAAGCTCCATCGAACATATCCACTTTGAGCGCATTTTTATTTGATACTTGCGTCCGTTTCCTATGGGCATTCGTAACTTATGTTAACACCATCAACACCCAACTTCGTACAACTGATAGAAAAAAAAATATTGTCAACAAAGACTATAAAATGATCCTCACACCTATCAACCCCCACCATGTTTTTTTTTATGCTACGCAAAAATATCCCAATTCATCTTCACTAATATCTACAAAAACATTTCATCAACTTCTTGATATATCATTCATATAGTTACTCAAGTTTATTTATCTTGAAAAAATACCTAAATATGAAAAAAGTCTAAAAAAAGGCATGAAAACAAAGAAAAATATAGAAAGACAAATTGCTCTATTCAGTTGATTTAAATAAACAATGAAATAGACCCATATCGGGTAGTCTAACAACGTAAAAAAAGAATATAATTCACTTTATACTGAAATATTTGTTACTAAGCAACAACATGAAATTGAAATTTCATCAAGATATAATTTACTTTTATAAATAGGTGGAAATTAGTGAAAACATTCTAAAATATGGCTACCAGTTTTTTTGCTAAGTAAAATTACTTAAATGGCACATTGACTTTTGTTCTGTAAAATTTGTATCTCTTCAATATTGAATTCTATTTTGAATAGAACTAATAAACTAAACTTACAAGTTTAACTGATGACGATATAACAGCTTTGAAGTATAAAACATTATAAAAGGTCAAGTAGAAAAATAGAAAAGAACTACAGATGTCATTTCATCAATGCAAAGCTCTTCAATTGAGAATATGATAATAAACTTTGTCAAACAAAGGTGTCACACTATATAAATGAAATTTTAAATTGTCAAAGTTTCTTCAAAGATTATATTTACAGACATATAATTAGTATGACAATAAGATTGAATTTCTACAAACGGCTTCCAACAGAACAGGATACGCGTCTTCACAATGAAAAAAACAATGACAAGATCAAATAAGAACAAAAATTTGATCAATAGAATAACTCTCTTATTTTATTTCTTACGCAAATATTTATGCTTTTTCAATTAATATTAGTTTTATATTTGCCACTCGATTTATAATAAACTCATTAGGAAGCATTTGGAATTGTGTGTCAAACATTGAATTAAACTTTTCTTATCTTCTTAGAACATTCAATATAGATTGATTTAATTATTTATATAGTTCAACTGAATATTACGATATGTTTTTCTATATTTTTCATTATTTTCATGCATTTATTTAAAAACTATTCTAAGACTTTTTTTCATATTTAAGTGTATTTTCAAGATAAATATTCTTAAGAAACTATTTCAATGATATATTTAGAAGTACACGAAATGTTTTTGTGGATATTAATGACGACTAATTGAGATATTGTGCTAAGAAACATACAAATTTAGGGTCTTGGTGGCATTGGCATAACTCCATAAAAACAACTGCTTAAAAGATTATGATTGTACATTAGTCATTGAAATGTAAATCATCTTTTTCTACAAATGATTATCTATAATGGATATAATATATTTTGAAACTTCATCTGAAGACATTCTAAAACAATAGAAAAAAATTAGTTGTCGTCGAACAATCTTTGTTCTGTACATTTAACTGTAGTTTTTTTTCTATTGGCTGGTTTATGCAAAAATGATAGCAAATAAAGTTTTCATTCACTACGAATGATAGAAAAGACTAAATCGATTGACTATAACATTAAAACAATATCGGAAAAATTTTTTGGTGAAATGCAACTGTTGACTTCATAGAAAGAACTTTTAAGCATTGGTTAAATGTTGTTCTCTTATTCAATCGAATTTTATAAGGTCGAAGTCATTTGTTTAAATGTTTTGATATCGATTGAAAGTCGCTCATTACGAGCTCAAATTCTCTATAAATAAGAATACTTTTGTCCTTATTCAAGTTCTTTAAGATTCAATTCAAGAGAAATAACTTGCCTTTGTTTATCATGAAATATAAGTTGTTATATAGGTAACTTTTTTATGTAAGTGTGATCAATTTTCGATGAACTTATATTTTTTATCTATAAATATTGATTTGTTGATCTACGTGTTTTTATTTTATTTTTACATTTTTGTTATCAATTTGTATTGCATTATTTGGCCTTAGTGATACGCTAAATAAGATATAAATTTATCTATAAATACATATTGATGCTCGACATATTGAACTGAATTTTTCAGTTCGATTTGATCATGTTTCTAATTGAAATAACTGTAATATGAGGTTAATACAAAATTATTAACGAATTTTATAATCAGAGATGAAATTAATTAACTTTTTCTCGATGTAAATGAAATACAGATAGTTTTCTTGTAAAAAACCTTGTTTTCTTTTTTTTTTCTATATTATCGTTAGAAAACTTTCTAAGAGATGATTATAATATACTAAAAATCGTATATTTATGATGTTTCGATTGGTGTTAGACATTGATTAAAGTCTGCCATTGTATACACTTATACATTTATTTATGTTAAATTAATAAATCACTTATTAACTAAAATCATCGTTTAATCTTATTTTCGATGATTGATAGTATCGATTTGCAATGAAATTGGTCCTATTGAAAAATCTTTTCTATTATACATCATTTCATAGAATTTAGAAATTCTCTTTTCGACTCATCCTGACTTGTTTTCTTATAAAAAAATGAGTTTCAAAAATAATTCAGCTCATGTTTAATTGGAAAAACTAAATGAGTTATCTTGTATGAAATATAATATTATCGAATGAACTAATAAGATGATTTGTTTTTTAAGTCAATTGATTATTGAAGGTTGACTATCATAGTTCTTGTTCTCTTGATGAACTTTAAAAGGAAAATCATTTCGTACTGTTTTTAGCCAAATCTTTTTAATTTGATAAGTTTTTTTTCGTTGCATACGAAACTTAGTATAGGTTTTTAGAATAAAAAAGAATTTTCAAATCTATGTAGAAAAGATGTATAGACATGAAAATTTGATCAATTACCATATATATTGTTTTAAATCATAAAAGTTTATAACTAAAACTGATTAGATTATATGATATTCGACATGATCTTAATACGTGTTTGAAGAAGCAAAAATTTTTTAAAGATATCATCGAAACCTTCGAAATCCTTTCAAAGTTTATTAAATTTTTACCATACGTGAAAAAGTTTTTGGAGAATTGATAAACGTTGAAAAATGGTTTCGAATTCTTTTCAATTATGCTATCGTACTTTTTTCTTCAGTGTAGTTTCGGCATTGTTAAAGAATTTCATCAATCAGTTTCTCGTCTAAGTCTTAAGATAACGAAAGAAAAGGGATGATGTATGAAAGTAACGTACAATGATTACTCTATACAGGAGATTTTTTTTTTTGTATTTTCAATAGACTTCAGTAGTTAAATAGTTGTTTTGCACACATTATTTTCTCTAGAGAAAATTTTTAGATATTCTTTCAAAACATAGAATCATAATTGATTATATGTACTTATGTATAGAGGCGAACAAATATCGATTGATTATTTTATTCTTGTCTGTATACAAATTTCATTAGAGATATAAAGAGAAATGGATGAGTTTTTGGTGGTTTTTTTAAAGGATATTTGACATAGATTTGTTATGTTAAATAAAATTAAAAATTTTATTGATAAATATTTTCTTCAATAAGATAATAAACAATATGTTGACTAAATTTATTCTTAAAGTAGAACATACTGAAAACGTTTTTTGTATTATTCGGGGAATAACTTGGTTAGCATTTATTTTAAAATATAATCAAATTTTCATTCAAAAAGTATATCATCAATTAAGATTTGAAATAAATGATTTATTTCTAAAATAACATCGTTAATTTAAGCTCAAAGAGACAAGTTAAATTCTTTGCTGTTTCTAAATATTCGTTGGTTAAGTTATTTATGAGATTGTAGAATAGAATTATCAATATGAATAAGTGTGATGTTAACCATTAAATGAGTCAATATCAGAAGAATGATAAATTTTACGAATAAAATTTCATGTTCATTATTATTGAAAACGACTTAGATAAACACTGATAGATTTATGTCTCGACTTTTATATGATAAAGAAATGAAAATGTACAAACAAGAAAAATAATAGTTAGTCAAGTGCGACAATTATTTAATAGAAATTAAGATAATGATATTAAAATGATTAATGAATTCATTTACTAAAAAGAATGGTGAAATAATAAATGTATCTAATCGAGTTACTTCGATTGTATTACAAGAATCATCTCATATTGATAGAAATACTTTTGAAAGTCTTGGGTATGATCTGAAATCAGATTTTCTAATCTATGATGTTACAAAGACAGTATTAAATGCTTTTATACCAATCGTAACACGTCAATCATCTAGTAGAAAAGATTTACTTTTCATAAGTGTAACTTCCGGATTATGTGCCACAGATTATAAATAGTTAATAAAAAAGAAAAAAAAATGCTTGAATGAAAATTTTTGACTAACTCTTTTCAATAATCGATTTTCTTTTCATAGACTTTAAATATGTTTTTTATATAATGATTAGATAAAGTCAATCATTTGAATAAACTTTTTTATTAGTTTCTCTTAAATCAAATTGTCTCATAAGAAATAAAAACACTTTTTATTCTCAATCGTAAATATATTCATAGAGATATTCATTTTTCTGTTTGCAATCGAGTATCGTGTTTTTTTTCTCTATAGTAAATGTTAAGAATAGAATAATTCTTTTTTTTATTGACCTATAATGGAAGCTTTCAAGTAGGTGTGTAATAACTAAAATGTCCTTGATATTGTCATTTAATAAATGGTAATCATAATCAAGCTTCGTTCTTTGATCATAGTTTACTTATAAAAGTGACTGGAATATAAATTCAATAGTTAGATTGCCTTTAATATTGACGTCGTAAATAGGTTTGACCACAACCAGGTATATATATCATTCCTTACATGATTTATTTAACTAGAAATAAACTAAACTCACCATATTTAAATTTTTATCTCGATATAAAAAAATTTTTTTTTTCTTTTGAAATCGAAAAATTTGCATAATTATATTATTCTAGTTTTTTTTTTTGTTAGGTAAAAAATTACCAATAATGATAAAACATAAAATAATTTATTTATTAGGTAATCATGGTTGTGGTAAATCAAGTATTTGTCAATTAATTAATTCAAAAAAAGATTTAAATAATGATAATATAATTGCTATTGAAGATAGAAATCAATTAAATATTGAATATTAATTTGATTCAAGTTCAATTGATAAATTAACACTCGAATATATATATGATGATGAATATTTTAATAAAATAATCTTACCAAATAAAACAATCAATGATGAAGATATTTATTGGATCGTATTAGATTGTAATATTGATATTATTTTAAAACGAATTACATCTATTTTGGAATTCCATTTATTGATACAACAGAACAAACATTAGACGAAGTCTATCAAAATATTATTGATATTATTCAAAAATATTCAAATTATTATTGATATTATCGTCAAATAGGTACTCAAATACTTAATTATGATTTTATTCAAGATAATGATATTGAATATAAACTTTATCAATTAATAAATAATTATAATTTTAATGATATAAATGATTTACTTGAATATGCAAATGAAATTGATAATGTTGATAAAAAAAAATTATATATAAGATGGTATTTAAATAAAAATTCATTCAAATTAAATAAACAAACTAATATTATTCAAATAGGAGAATATAATATACCAATAAAACAAACTATATTTAAACTTATTAATGAAGGAGAATCAAAAAAAATTTATAAAGATATTACTGGAAATCCATTTACTAATAATTTAGTATTTATTGTATTAAAATCTACTATTTATTCACATTCAAAGCAACTTACTGGAGAAATTAATAATTTAGGTTGCAGTTTTTTTTTTTATTTCATATTTCTTATTATTAACATCTATTTTTATTAACCAAACGTCTATTACTACTTTCTATAGATAAATGATCACAATTAGGATAAATACTAGAAATTAGCAATAGATTGTTTTAGTTGTATGATCAAATTTTCTAAACGTATTTCTATTTCGTATTTTTCTTAACCATTTTTCATTGTAGAAATTAGTGTTAAGTTTCAAAAGATTCTCTTTTGTATTATCTAGAAAATTCCATAAGAACATTTTGTCTAAACTCCTATTCTAAAAAAAATGATTAAATAGTAAAAAGTCTTGTCGAACATCTAGAACTTTCTTGATAGATTTCTTTTTCCTATCATTCAAAAAATATAAAATATTTCAGAAAAAAAAGTTTTTCAACTAAATGAATTGAGCTCTTTCTCATCATGTACAATAAAGTTCATTCAAACGATGGATTATTACATAGACAGTGAATTATTTAATCATTTATATTTAAACAATTAAGATTTTGTGAATTTTTACCAAAATATCTCAATTTTTCCAAGTTACTAATTTATAATTTTTGTAAATTTCCGAAAAGAAAAGTCTTTTTCTCTGAACTAGGTGTTTATGTGCAAAAATATTAAATTATAACTAGCGAACTTTTTTCATAGCATAAAAAAATTCTTTGAAAAGCTTTAAATCGTAACAAAAACAAGTATAACAAATAATTTTTATTTCATAAATTTGTACATTCCATAGAACGATTCAATTATTCGAGCACTCTCTTTAATTGAAACTTTAAATAAAAAGTTCTTATATAATTTAGTAGACAATTCCAAGGAGTATCTTTTTGAGATTAGATACTGATTTCTATAATAAAAATTGGCAGAGATTAACATGAAATAGCTAATGAAAATATTCTTACATAAGATCTATCTGAATCGAATTGAATTTGTTTTTTTTTCGTGTTCTTGATATAAATTAATTAATCATCTGTTTCACAGTATGTATATTTCAACGTATACATGTACTCTTCTACTCTACTATCGATAACTGTTCCATGTACTGTTATGACATTATATTCGAAAATCGAACATGTTTTGATAGTGAAAAACATAAAATTTAATTTGAGTATAGAATAGAGTTAATTAAAAAAAAGATAGTGAATAATAAAAATTCTTTGAAATGTTTTAGGTCCAATACGTGCATGTGGTTGTCAATTGTTTTTAGAAATCATGTGGCGTAATGGAATAAAACATAGTTATCGTTCAATAAATAAAAATGGTATTATTATAAGTGATTTAATTAATGAAATTCCTCCGATTGAAGTTATTGTTAAAAGATATTGTCAAGGAACTGATAAAAATTCATATAATGATATATTATTAAATGAAAATATTGTTTTAGATACAATTGATGGAGAATATATATGTGGTTCATATGTTAGATTAGATTGGAGAAATCCAAATCACATATCATCATATACAAAAAAAAGCATTAAATAAAAATCCATATTATTATTTATATGAACAAATAATTGGCAAAGAAGAATTTTTTCAACGAATTTTAAATAATAAAAATTATTCAATACCAGTAAGAATAAAAAACAAATATTGTTTTTTTTATTTTTTTTGCCTATTTAAGATGGGAGATGAAAATATAAGTGAAGATTTATTAATGAAAATAATTAATATAAAACAAACAAGAATATCTGTATTAAAAATGTTTATGATAAATTCAATCATATTTTTCTCATGTTAATTTATTAATTAAAGATGTTTGTTTTATGCTTGATAAAACTGGTAAAATATTTTGGTCTGAAATAAATCAAGATTCAATGAGAATAACAACTAAAGATAATTCTTTAAATAAATTTGATAAAGATATATGAAGATTAGCTGGATTAAAATCATGTAAAGATATATTATATAAATGGAATTATTTTAATAATAATATATTTATTGAATATTTTAATTTAAATAAATTTCATCAAACAGAAATATATAATTATAATTATTATTTTTATCAAAATGAAATAAAAAAATTATTAAATAATAATAAATTAAAAATTCCTTATCATTTAAAATATTTATGGTCAAATATTTCAAATCAAATTAATCGACGTATTCTTATTACAATGGATTTATTTAATGGTAAACCAGTTTTAGTTAAAAGTTCACAAATAAATCAATATCATAGTAATTCAGATTATATTCAAGCTATGAATTATATATCAATATTTTCTGATATATTAATTATTGATTTAAATCGAGTTTTTGATCAAACAAATAAAATAATTAAAGAATTAGAAAATAAATATTATATACATACAGGTGGTGGTTTAAGAACATTAATTGATATTGATGATATGCTTAAATCAGGTGTTCGTCATTGTGTTTTATCAAGTATGAATGATGAATTAATTAAAAAAATTCCAAAAGATCGTTTAATTATTGAAATAAGTATAAATGAAAAAAAATGAAGTTCTTATAAATGGTCGTCAAATTAATACACATATAAATATAATTAATAAAATCAATCAACTTATTCAAATAGGTATTCAAATTATTAGTATAACATTTGTTCAAACTGAAGGACATTTATTAGGAATACCTCGTCAACAAATACATGATCTTATTATTCAAATACCAAATTATATTGAAAAAATTTATATTGCTGGTAATATAACAACATTAGATAATTTAGAATATTTATGAACATTTAATCGTGTTATTTCAGTTATTGGATCTTCTTTATGGACAAATAAATTAACAATTGATTCAATTTATAATTCAATGATTTATTTTGATCAATATGAAATAGTACCAGCTATTATTCAAGATATTAATGGTTTAGTTAAAGGTTTATGTTATATGAATAAACAATCTATTGAACAAACATGTCAAAAAAAGAATTTTATATAGATATTAAAGAAAATTAAATCAAGTTATTAAAAAAGGTCAAACATCTGGTCATCTTCAATATGTTATTAAAATTAGTTTAGATTGTGATTCAGATTCGATTTTAATTATTGTTGATTCAAAAAATCCATTTTGTCATACTGGTTAATATATTTTTCCTTTTTCTTTTATTTCAATTTGATCAAGTTTATTTTTTTTTGTTAAAGGCAATTATAGTTGTTTCAATTTACAAACAAGTATTAAAACAAATCTGTCTACATTATGTGAACATATTACATCAAAAATGAATACAAATAGTTATACAGGATATATGCAAAGAAATTCTCAATTAGTTCTTACGAAAATAATGGAAGAATATTGGGAATTAGTAGCAGCTAGTGAAAATAATAAAATTTATGAATGTAGTGATTTATTTGTTCATATATTAATATATTTAAATAGTATTGGTTTATCATTAGAAGATATATCAAATGAATTAAATAAACGACGATGGACATTAAAAACATTAATACAATACGATAATTTATGTGAAGTAAAACAAAATGAAATTCTTATTGCAATAACAAATTCAAAATATTTTAATAAAACAGATCAATTTGCTGAAAATGAATTAGGTATTAAAATTATTCGATATTCAAATAGAAATCTTTTAATTGAAGGAGAAATAATTAATCAAGAGAAATTTTCAAAATATTTTCCTCATGACAGATATAGTAAATTATCATTATTACCATGTAATCCAAAAGATATGATTTGGTTATTAGCATCAAAACGTATTACACATATAATTACTTATGATACAATTATTGAAAATTATCCAAAAATTTCTACTCGAATTCATCAAATAATTGATCCAACGATTTATCTTGCTTTAATATCTCGTCAAGAAGATATAATAGAACCAGATAAATGGACTAATAAAAATAAACCATTAATTGCTTCGGAATATATTTGTCAATTAACAAAATATTTTCAAGATAATTCTATTGATTCTGATCGATATCATTTAGATAAAATATCAGGATCATCTGAAGCATTTTTAATTAATACAAAGAAATATTTATTAGTTGATGCTATTGTACATACTGGAAGAACTATTCAAAGTAATAATTTACGTATATGGAATATAATTATACCAAAAGGACAAATACATATTCAAATTAATCTATAAATAAAATTATGTATTAAAAAACAAATAAACAAATACTTTCGATTAAATATTGATTTTGAAAATCATTACTAAAATATAAATTAATTCAACAATAGAATAACATTGTATACATATATCTGTTGTTTATGTTTAGTTTTTGAATGATTTCCTAATATTTATATATGATTTCATATTGTAACCAACAATAATGTAAGAATTAACAGAAAAAATTTAATACACGAAATAAACTTAATTTTTAATCGATCTATTAAACAATTCAATGATAATATTATTTGAATTCTATTTTTTTGTCCAAAAACTCTTTCACTATTGTTTATCGTATGTCAAAAGTAAATATAACACATGTATCAGTCTCGATATTTACTCACATTCACAACGAATACAATATTTTATCTTATTTTACAAGTTAAAACAAATATTTTCGAAAAACTAATTTAATATCAGTTGAAGTACTTGAATTAGGATTCTTCATTAATTCAGTGCAATACGAAAAAGTTCAACCAAATATTTTATATTTTGATTCCCTTGTTAAATTATATAATTCATATTATTTTGATTATAGTATAACTTTTCGTGCACTTAATCGTGTAACGATTGACTATATAAAATGAGCATTTTTTCTACAACGATTAAAAGAATAGTTTTACCAAGCATAAAAACTGATTCGAAAAAAAAAAAGAATTCAAAATAAGAAAGTCACCTTTATAATGAACAATTTGTTGAAAGATCAAAATTTATTATTAACATATTTTAATCAACATTAAATTACATTTTAAGAGCGAATAATCATTAGCGAGAACATAGACCTTTTAACAAAATTTTACATATATTACTAGTCAGTTTATCTATGTATATATAAAACATTTTTATTTTATTAAACCATCGATTGATGGTCTTGATGAAAGAATTCATGAAGATTATTTTGATAGTTCACAAAACGATCAACCAATATACAAAATTACCATTGATAAAGTAGATTCTGTTCATCGTCATTTTCATTATTGAGCAGTGAATATCGGTTATCAACTTACTCTTTACATTTTACTATATCAATTTGGCCAAGAATATATCATTCAATAGTAATAAAAATGAGCTCATCGTTAATTCTCGTTATCCGAAACATCATACAAACGATATTCGAAAATAAAATTCGTGTTACAAGAATAATTCAACAGTAGGTCAAATGTATTACCGTTGTTTGGTAAAAGAATTGAAATAATCGAAATCGAAATCAGTCATTTATACGTTTATAGATTTAATAACAAGTGACTAAATTATCATAATGATTATTCACGTCAAATAAATTATATTAATCGAATTGAGTTGTTTTAGCGGAATAATTCATTGTATCCAAACGCTACAAATCTTACTAATACAAAACATTGGTATATATGGAATATTTGACAACTGAATGGTGGCGTATGGTGTTTAAGAACATTTAATTTATCTAAAGAATTTGATTATTATGTTCAAATTCAAGATGAAAAAAGATTGTCTCTACATCAAAACAACAAAAGTTAATGAAAGCTAACACAGGGTTGGCAAACAAGCAATGCATTGAAATTAATGGTTAATCATTGTTTAGACAAAGGTGGAACATTTATTAACGAAAGATTATATTTAAGCTAGAGAAATTTTTATCTAATAATGCGTCAAAAATTCATTTCAACAAAAATATATATATTATCAAATTTGAGGGAAACTTTTGTAAATATATCTTTTCAAAATTATTCTCTTTTTTTATCTCAAAATCAAGATCAAAAACAAAAAGAAACCTATGAAAACGAATACGATTAATATGAATACTAAAACTTAAAAACTATATAGTTTTGATTTTGGCATATTCATAATATCGACCGTTCAAAACTACAAAGTTTATCTATCGGAACCTATTGTAATTTATCCTCGATAACCCATTCAAGACCATAGAAGTCTGAGATCAGTGCTTCGGAATTAAACCTTTCGATAGGTTGAGAGATCAGTTGATAGACGAACACTTATCAAATCTATGAACCTGTTGGATGTCTACGATAAACGTATCGAAATGTCAATCGATCTGGAGCTTGAGAATAGTTATTCTTACAATCGAAATCATTGCTTTGTATTACAATGAATGAGAGTGTTATTCTGGTAAGAGTACACAAACTCATTATTCTTTCTTTTAAACATTAAAAAATGAAAGTAACTGTGATATATCATCAAAAGCAAAGCATGGTTTAGAATTTGTATGCATTGCTGAACTGTCTAATGCACCTGAAAATATGCCAAAAGTACGTGCACCCTGCGCATCATATGTCGAACCAGCGACATGGAATATTTGTGTCTTATCACCATTAACTGCAGCTAATGCTTGCGCATACATCGATGGACATGCTTTGAAACAGTTGACTGGATAATCTGATGATAATATCAATGAAACATTCACCGACGATGGAAAGACACGTAGCGCTGCTTGCAGTGTACCTTTATCACCATTTGAAAGTAAGCCTAATTGATATTCTCTGCTCAATTTACTGAGAACTTCTGTAGCACCAACACGTGGCTGTAAATTTCCCCATGCCGACATCAGCAAATGGAATGTGGCCCTACCTTCGGGTACCATATTTGATAATTCAAATGACTTTAAAATTTTCAATAATGATGAATGAATGATCCATAGAAAAGGTTGATGTGTCACCGATGCTGGAAATGATTTTCCAAAAAATGATACATATGCACTGAGTCAATCATTCGTAAATTTCTCAACATCCAACGATGATAATGATGGTAAAAGAGAAGCGATAGTGTGATTTATCGAAGGCTTCGTCAACATCAACGCACCAAACAAATCAAATGTCAACACACGCAATGTGGACACATTCAAAGATGAACTAGGTATCGAATCAGAAGAATTGTTCAGTTCACTCTTTGATGTTCGATCAATTATATTTACAGTCGAACATTCTAGGAACCACGTAGAAGCACATAGAATGAAAAAGACAATAGTAGCAGCATTAAAACATTGACGTGCGTTTATCATTTTCTTTGCTTTTCGGTATATAGAATTTGCAAAGCCTTGTGACGATGCAATTGAAATAAAGAAAAATAATAACAACAAGGATTAACATATTTGAATATATAATCCTATTTCTTCTGTTTTTATCGAAATGTAATTTACAGATGTCAATGATTCAGCGATTAAAACAAAGAAAACTATGAGTAAAGCAATCAAAATATCGTTATATTAAGGTCCATTTTCTCTTCTGATTCGAAAATATAACTTAGAAGTACAAATAATAGTAGTATCACAGGGAATATATTTTTATAAATCATCTGCGAGTCTTGTACAATCTTTGTAAAAGACTGTTTAGAAGCAGTCCAGTTTCTTTTTACAAGTAAGAGTACATTATTGTCGAAGGTCTGCGAGATATTTGCTAAACATTTACTTTTGTAGTTTATACCAATAGATTATAAATCAGAAATGCATTAAAATTTTTCAATTATTATTAATAAGTGATCACAACTAGAATCTAGAGAAGATGGAAGACTTTTTACAAAACAAGAATTCAATTTGATATACTGTCAAATCAAATTCATTCGGAGAAAAATTTTAAATCGAACATTCGCGATAAAAATTTCATGAATATATGTTTGAACAATGATTACCTTACAGTGATTGCTATGTAACACATATGTCAATTGACAATTTTGAGAGATTTTCTTCTTTTCCGATTACTTCAAAACAAGATAATTATTTTTGTATGAGTCTACATAAATAATCGATAATTCTGGCATTTGTTATCGATGAGAATAAATCCTATGTCAAGTGAATATTTCTTCTATAAAGATATTGGAGATTTGTTGCTTTTTTTTGTTTTTTTCTTAAACGAAATCTGTCAAACTTCAGTTGATTAATCCAAGAAAGACTGTTTTCAATAATAGAGAAAACACACAATAATCAAATTCAATTGATCAGAAAGATTATGTGTTTTTGAAGTACTGATGGTGTCATTATTTAAATATGAAACAGTCTACCTAAGCGATCTGTCTGGTTTCTATTTCCGAATCAAATGATACATACTTTTATCAGAATAGAAAGACAAAAAAGGCTTGAATCATAAGCAACAATAGTCATTCTAATTGTATCTCGACTTGTTGTACATTATGATTTAACACGCTTCAATTCAATGCGTTGGATAGCACGTGTATGCACTGACTGTACTCCTTTTATTGCAGGTTTGTCATCAATAATCACGATTTCTTCTTCGAGAATATCTCCGCGTAATCGTGTACTAGAGATCAAAAGTAAATTGTCATATTTGAATGGCGTAACGAGTACATCACCAATCCATCGTGTCTCAAGTTTAACGTCATTACCTTCATCAATAACAAGATCATCAGCACCTTGGCCACGACACAGACGATAGTCTTTTACTGCTTGAACTTCTTCGCCTTGTAAATACGTGTTACGCCACACCGTACAAGTGTTGTCACTAGTTGGGTATGACCCTATTTCCATTAACACATCTACAGCAGAAGATCCGGGTCTCATTGGGTAGTTTGTTAGCGAACCACGCCAAGTTCCATTCCAGTTGGGATTATCTAAATTTATGTTAAACTTTCTATAAGCATTTCTTTTTTATAACATGAAAACTGTCTATTTAAGAAACAACTAAAAATCTATTAATATCCGTCTCTCTTTTGTTTAGACGAATAATTGTTCAAAGTTTATTTCTTAATCTTTCACTTCCCATATTACCTTGGCATAATAACGAATTTGAAACATTCTGTGTGTAATAGTCAACATTATTAGAAATGTTTCACTATAATATCGTTTCTTGACGAATCAACCTTTGTAAAATTTCTTTTGCTTTCGAATAACATGTCTTTGAGAGATGCTGGTTGACAATCCGTTTATAAATGACTGAAAATTTATGAAAGTTGTTGAAATTCTTTTCAAAAGACTAATTGTGAAGTTGATCAAAGAAAGTGATACTCGTATGGACTCATTAAAAAAAACAATCATTAACGAACAATAGGTTAGCTTTTGAACACAAACAAATTACTATTATTTATAACACGTATGAGAAGCTGCTTCATCGAGTTTTTTATTTATTACGTGAGATTTTCGAGTATTTCTTACGGCTTTATTGATGTTTTTAAATATTTTTTAGTGTAAGAAAAAGATCAATACTCGACTTTATTACTGTTCGCGAAACTAATGCAATAAATGCAACTCTGCTAAATAAATGAACGTTGAAAATAAATCAAAATGTAATTGTTCACGTACCTTGATTATCTGTAGATATGAGAGTCATTGTCATTAGAAAGGTCAAAATTACTGTGCACAAAAGAGAAGAAAACATTTTATTGATAATTTGTATTTGATGTAGGTATGAAAATGAAAAAGTTCGATTCAGTTAATTTTTGTTTCGTATGAATGGTACAAAATGTCGACTTTACTTTGTTTTTCTTTAAATAAATGTTTGCATGGTCAAAATATCACAAGAGGATTAACATGTCAATGTAACACAATATTTTTACTTTTCTTTTTCTTTAGCTCGCTTCAAATATCTTCGGTAGACCTTGTGAGAAAGTTATGACTTCCATAAGCAATTTAATTTAGATATCACTTAAGCAATAAAGAATTAGGTTTACGTTTATATTTTTAGTCCCTAAAATGATGATTGGTACTCATCGAAAACACGAATATGCTTCGTGATTCTCAAGTAGAATAATAGACAATTTTTATGAGTTGCAGGCACTTTGCTGCAACTTGTTTTTCTTTTATGCATTACACGAGTGCTTTCTTTACAAAGTTACCATACTTTCCTTGAAAGATTACAGCGTTGCTGTAGCAATGTAAGATTTTCATTTTTATACATAATAGAAAGATCTCAGTCAATGTGCTAGCATCATCAAAATTGAGAAAAATATCTTTCTCTGTTCCAAAGGCGGCTCTAACGAGTCAGTGTTATTCTGCTCCCTTAATTCTAAAACAAACCCTTCGATACATCCTTGATCTTTTAGACGAGCATAATGATAATGAGAAAATTCCCCCTCTGCACATAAATTGATCATATCATCTTTCATTTCTCAGCGCCTTAAGGACTACGTTGGTGAACTTTCTCGGCGGAATGGAAAACTTTTTCGTATTATAAACTATTATGAGATTGAATACTTCGAAAAAATCGTTTATTTTCCTGCTAACATTGATCTTTTGAGCGAGACTTTGTATGAAAGAAAGTAACGGAATAGTTAAAATCAGTTATGGTGTCTTCGTTATTTGATGCTACACGATGAATAGTAAAAAGAATGCATTGAACTACAGAGTCAAAATTTAGCTTTACCTTCCTCATCTGCAGTCAAGACTTGTTCACAAAATTTATTATACACACCATTTTCGGTTGGATATACCACGAAGTTCACTATCAGTGATATATTTCTCAGACTAAGTTGCTTCTTTGTTTCGTTAACCATCGTCTTGACTACAAGAGGTACAGAACATTTATGATCCCCACATCCGATTGCAGGAAATGCAACAGACATGAAGTTATTTGCAATAACATTTTGGAAAACATTCACTATGAAGTCGACCATTGATTGTCGAAGTATATTGGAATCTGCATGAGGCTTCCATTTTAAAAAAATATTCGTTTGTACGCCAATTTACCAGGTTCAAGTGAAATAAATATTGAATTCGGACTACGTGTTTGTTCAGCCTCATATGCTGTGTTAATGTTACTCTCTGCTGCCTTCATTATTCCTTGTCTTAAGGCATCCGATGATGAGCTACCAATAATAATATCAACCTATCAAATATAAAAATCTTTCAATTTGTTTTTGCATATACAAGTATGGTTGCTAACCTTTTGTTTTGTTATATTTCCTTTCTCAATAACAATCGTTCCTTTTTCAACAGTTGTCGATATACCATTTGAATGCAATAAATGAATGCGTTTCTGAAACTCTTCATAAATATTCGTTTTATCTGGTTGTATGACGAATGAAACTGAAATGGGGCTAGTAACTTGCTGAAGATGAGCTTTCATGACAAGCGCTTCTGCGACAATACAAACTGAATATCCAAGCTGACCGCAACCGATAGCTAGAAATGCTATACTCTGATAGTTTTCTTCTACGGCTTTCTTTATTGCGTTTGCAAAAAAATTTTTAATGGACTTGCGAAATCGTTCAGTGTCAGATCGGCCTCCCACGGAAGGACAAAAAGCCTCTTCCATGCAAGCTGCCCATCGGTGTGAACAGCAATGATTGAATCGTTGTCTCCTTTTTCTAATTTATGATTGTATAATTTTCTTGTAGATTGTCCGGCAGCTTTCAAAATGGTGCCTAACAAAACTCCAGAAGACGAGCTCACAGCAATAACATCCGTCTGAGTGCATTGAAAACAATTCGAAACTGTCACATTGATTTTCAAAGCTTTAGTTTACTTTTATAGTTGTCAGCAGAGATGTCCATCACGGCTGAAAATCTGCGCTGCCGCGCCGCGACGGTTTATAAAAAAATGTTGCCGCGACGCTGCCGCACCGCGATGACTTATAAAAGAAACGCTGCCGCGCCGCTGCCGCGATGAATTATAAAATAAACGTGCCGCCACCGCGCCGCTGCCGCGACGGTTTTCAAAAAAGTGTTTCTAATTTCACTGCTGTGACTATATTTGACCAGAGATATGGGTACTAGTCCATCAGATTTATTCAGTATCAGGGCGTTTCATTTGTAAATCCTGAAATTCTATTAAATTCATACAGTTTTTCAATGTTCTCCAAAAAAAAACCCTGCCGCTGCCGCGATGGTTTTTTAAAAAACCTACCGCTACCGCGCCGCTGCCGCGATGACTTTTTAAAAAAATCTGCCGCTACCGCGCCGCTGCCGCGGTGATTTTTAAAAAACACCTGCCGCTGCCGCGCCGCCACCGCCATCGCGGCAGCGGCAGCGCCGCGATGGACATCTCTGGTTGTCAGATCACCTTTACAAAAGGTTATCGAAGAGTTTGAACTGGCTTCAACGCATGAATCGTCATCCAATAGAAACAAAAAGACTGTACTTCAGCTCAGTTTGGCAGCACTTTGCCAAGAAAAAAATGACGGTGTTAGCTCATTAATGATTTTCACGTCAACTACCGACTTGGAGGGAACCGGATTGGTTTGGTTCAGTAGCATTAGGTTGAAGGCAAATTTTCATCTTGTCAATGAACAGTTTGTTAACATTATTCAATTTTTCTATTAATTTCAGATTCATCTGTATTTTTTTCATATCCCACTGCTTTAATAGTTGTAAGACGCGGATTCAATGATAGAGAATTTCGAAATGTTTATCCATTTTTTATTGTAATCAAAACTTCATAAATCATCACATTTGTTCATATTCTGTGAAACACAATTGGGAATATGTATTGAAGTATAAAAGGAGTACATCGAACTAAAGCCTCCTTTCTGAAAACTGTGACAGAAATTTTGACATCTGACTATGGATTTTAAGCCCATAAAATTCTGAACTAATGAATGCAGACTACAAAATTGTTAAGGAATCTTATAGATTTTCGATCGATTTGTTATTCTGAAGCCAAGCAGTCGATGTTTCTTTCGCTTTGTACGGTTGATTAACTCTATAACAAACTGTCATTGAAACTTGGTAAGGTTTCTCTTCTGACATTGCGACCCGTAATTGTAACAATAAAATGAATCATCATATCGTTGTGAAGATACTTCATCGTGTTTCATGTTTGAATCTTGGATATATGTCCAACGATTCTTAGCATGTTCTCAAGATCCATCAAGAAGACCCTTCCTCCTATTTCTAACTCAAAGAATTAGGTCGCTGTGGAGATTTTTTCGGTTCGTTCTCTTCCGTCATAGCTGCTTGAGCTGAAATTAATGTTGAAATAATTTTATTCGAGTCTTAATGCATTTCCGTTTTGTGGTAAGATGCTATAGTTTTGGCTACATAAATCTAAACGCTTTAGCTCCTTTTGCTGTAGCGATTAGTGAGTTTATGAAGAGAACATCTAACTATCTACAGCATAGATATAAAAGATCCAAAAGGTAGCATGGTGCTCAAGTTTTGCTTGTTTGTACCTTCCAAGTACAAACCATCGAGCTGAAATGTACGTTAGAATAACGTTGTTCGAATTGCAATGTTTAATGTTTTTTTTAAATATTCTATTGTTCGCAAGATGAACCAAAGCATATGATGCTCTCTGAACAGCCATAATTTATGATTATGGTTGAGTATGTCAGTGTATTATGCCAAATATGGGAGAATGAGTGCAAGGAAAAGCTGCCACAATGTTCGAGTGTCAAAACATTAATCCATAAGATTAAGTTGTATGAAACCCGAAAATATCAATACTAACTGCAAACTCGTTGAAGAAAAAATATCAATTGTCACTTACCGAACCAGACAGCTCGAAATCAGACTCATCGTCAGTGTCTTCTGAATCATTCTTGGTTGGAATCCGTTTCCAAAAAGTAAACAATCGTTTTATACGTTGCATTGTTTCCCGGATGTTTGTGGGATATTTCTCTAGATATGTATAAGATGTATTTGTAGTTCGATAATTTACAAAAACTTGAGTTGTACAAGATATGTACTGCGCAACTTCACATTTAAACAAAATGGATATCGACATCTTTTAGACCAAAATGACAAGCATTTCAGCGATAGTTGGATGTTCAAAATTCTTTTGTACAATAAAAACAAGTCAGCAAACGTTACATAAACCATTACTATGAGCTTCAGGAAAGACTGTGACATTTTATGAGCTCGCAAAACAAGATAGAGCTTTTTATTATATTGGCTCGTGCAGATCTTTCTGTAATAAAGAGTGGAAAGTAACATATTATTAGCAAAAATTACACATCAAAATTAAAATTTACTATCTTTTATGTAGAGCTTTTTGACCAAAAATCGAGTTTTCCGTAGTTTATATTTTCGGATTCTTGTGGTTCCAAATTAAAGTATACAAGTTGTTGCACGCATATGTTTGAAACCTCTCTCATTAAATGACTCAGTGTGTTCTACAATGAAGTTGCTAACCAAATTTTTCGATGGGATGCTCAATTAGAGAATGTCTTATAATACGTGACTTCAGTCTAAATTTGTCTCAAGAACTTCAATGTTGAAAAATTTCGATCGTTCACCAATGTTGCAATTATTTTATGAGTGCTCCATATTCAGATCCTAAAATTTTGAAGTTTTCAGTCTCGAGTTTTTCCATCATGATGTCATGACTTTTATTGTACAAGAGACCTATCTACCATAAAAGGTTCATGAAACTTCAATCACTCGTTTTCCAAAACTTCCACAAAGTGGGAATAGCGCTTTTAAGTTCCCAGTGACAATCTTGCTTACTTAAAATCTGAGGATGTGTTACGAAAGTTAAGTGCCTAAAGCTGGCTCCCATATTGATTCAGATATAAAAAGTTTCTTGAATCTATGAAAGATTGAGGGAATTCAATGGAGACATTTATCCTCATGCTCTCCTAGGAACTTAGAAACTGAAATAGTAGTTTAACATGAACATTTCTTAAAATTGATACTATTATCGGAATTTTAAAAAAAGGCCATCGGGCAAAATGCTTATAACTTTTGAACGAAGATAGCCAGAGCTCTGCGGTTTTCACCATTCGAAAGAGAAGACAAGGGGACGTCTTTTCCTCCAATATTGTATAGGAAGAAATCGTTTAAAAATCAGTCATTTCTACAAAACATCGTGAAAATGCATGAAAACGATCTGTCATTCCGATGAAATTTTGGTTCTGACAACTGGTCTAGATAGAGAAACTTCAGATATATAGTTCAAGATATAATTCGAATGATTATCTTTCCACCTCCTAATGTTGAACAAATAAACTTGTCTATTCAATTCCACGAAAACTATAGAGTTCTTTTAATTTTTAAGCATATTTTTTTACTTTTCGTCTAAATTTCAACTGAATGGCAGACCGTTTTTTTTTACATTTTTTCGATGTTTTGTAGAAATGACTGATTTTTAAATGATTTCATCCTATACAATATTGGAGAAAAATGCGTTCCCTTGTCTTCCATTTCGAATGGTGAAAACCGCAGGGCTCTAGCTATCTTTGTTCAAAAGTTATAAGCATTTTTCCCGATGGCCTTTTTTTTAAATTCCGATAATAGTAGGGGATATACTCTTTGTTAAACTTCTCTTCTGATAACACTGTAAAAAAAAGTGAGACGATCGGCAATTTATGCCTTTTGCTTTCTATACGAAATTATAATTAGTTATCTTGTAAATCTGACTATTTTCATCGTACGAGCGGCCGAAATTGAAAGGAACTGCAGTATACGACTGACACTGCTAGTATGATCGGACAATCACTTAGCCTGATCGGATCTTATATTACGTGGGGAGTTTCCACCTTTATCGAATGGAAGTTATTAATAGCTGTAGGTTCTTTCTAACAGTGTCAACATATTGTCCTCTTGAATGTAAAATGTCACAAATCTCGAGCTGCATTAAGCCCTAAATTATTTCACTGACACTGATCGTCTCTTTTGGAAATGTATAATAGTACCTATGAATATTCTTTTCTATGTTTCTCCTTCTATGATATTAGCCTTTTGTCCTGTGTAATTACACCACTACTTTTTTTATCTTTAAATCGAAAATCGCTTGCAACGACTGAAGCAAGTTATTTTCAAGTTTCTTCAAAAAAACCAAATTATTTTACCAATTATCGGTAAATGTTTTCAGTTAAATTCGTTTTCTCTAATATCTAATGCTTTGTAATTTACAGTATCATGTACGTTTATCTTGCTTTTAGAGACCCGTAAAATCTTAGTTTTTTCTTGAAACCACTGACTATGGCTCACGTAGTATTTGCTTATGTATGTTTGACTAGTGTAACTTTGAACACACATCTGTCACCAAAAAGATTAGTCTATTTAGTTAAAATAAAGAAGAGATATACACACTTTTTACTTCAACACTACTAATGACACAGTCTATGGGCCATGAGAAGAAGAAAAGAGAGATCTGTTGTCAGAGAAAAGCAGAGGCACATATAAATAAAGATAAGAACACATGAATATGAATAATGTTGACATAAAAAATGAAGACGGTAGTGTTGCAATCTGATATGCAGATATATTATATAGATATATCAACACATAGAATAATGATTTATCAAAAGAATAACATCATCCGATTACACTGAGTGTTCGCCTGATTATGATTAGAATTTTACTGTGAAAATGAAAAATCTCTGTGAGCATTCAATTATGAAATGCAGTAAAGTCTCTCCAATACGGGTGCCATCGAAACTAACCAAAAGTACTCATTTTACGAAGGTGCATGTTTTTTGGAGGTTTTTCGTTTCTTGTCATTGCAATTCATAAGTATTCAGTTGTAATTACTTTTCCTTTGAACAATACAATCGTTTTCTTCTTTCCAACAATTTATTTTTCACATCTGCTTAAACAGAAGTAGACCAACGTCCATTGAAGGTGTGCTGGGTGTGAGTGTAGGTACAGACTGAGCTTGTTCTCTTTGAAGGAACCCACGAACATACTCATACGCATACTCTAGTTCTTTCGAATACTGTCATGTTTGAGAAACACACTAAAGCAAGTCAGTTGACCTGAAATGAACAAGCATCTAATACGACAATGTTCGAAATTAGAAACATGCAGGCTGGTTGCTCTCTCAATACTCTTGTGGGTATGGGTGGAGCTATGGCTGTGGCTGTGGCTGTAGGATGTGGATGTAGGTTTTAGTACACATGTTGGTTTCATGAAAGTGATATTTCAAGTTCACATCTGACCACACTTACATATTTTTCAACATTAATCGGCACACAAATGAACTAAACTGTTTGGTGAACGTCATACATATGAAGTGAAGACCATTCGAACATGAATAGTCCATTCGTAGTGTATGTCTTTGACTGTTACTATCGGAAAGACTTTTAGGCACACACTAATTTCTAGTATGTCTTTCTTGCATATTCAATAAAGATGTGGGTGTAGGTGAGTGCTTTTATGGAACATTACTTTCATGATCAATTATTCTCGGCTTGATGATATATCGATGGACACTCTGAAGTGCTAATAAACTATTGCGAGTGTTTAGACTTTAGCTTGAAGATGAACAGTTACTAATGGTCGAGCAATGGAAATAGGCGCAAGGTTGAAACAAATTCGATTCAAAAACATTTAGCATGTGGGTTTAACAAGGCGAAACAAATACTTGATTCAAAATTCGATTTTTCACATTTCCTTTTATTTCAGTTGATTTTCTCAAGAAAAATGATTATAATTAGTTACCCGTCACAACAAGCGAGTGATAACTCCAAATACTCGAAACTCTAATAGGTTTCGTCTTTTCAATGTATATTTCATCTAGGAAGTCGACTATCAATCTGCACTTTTCATTACTTTCCACGCGCACTTTTATCAATATCAAGTTACATGCAACAAAAGCAATCTTCAAAATATGTGAAATTCGAAACCTGAACTAAATATGCCTTTTTCTATTTCACTGGCTTAGTATGATAAAACAATATATAGGCAACATTCGCAATCGAAAAATACTCGGCTCAAACAGTAAGACAAAATAGAAATGGTAGGCAGCATCCAATTGTGCTTGCTCTTTTTGGGCATGATCTCTCTGATCAGTCACAGTAAGTAATGATGATTGAATAGAACTTAAACGAATTTAGTTTAACTATTGATGATTAGGTCAAGCTAAAACCTATCCATTGTGGAAAGTATTCTGCAGTGGTGTACCACTCTATCGAGGTCGTGTTGATTCGATTGTTACTCCTGGTACTATCTCCGGACATGTGCACAAAGTGATGGGCGGGAATCATTTTAGTGCTGGAGTGAAAGATCAGTCAGAACTCGAATTGTATGAAGTCACAAAGTCGGCTAGTTGTACGACCTGTTCAATTCATACTGTAGACAATAGCAACTATTGGCATCCGGATTTGTAAGTCAAATCAACTGAAGTTATTTTTGTGTCCAAAATATTGATGTAATTTGAAAGCATTCTTGTTGGGTCGATAGCCTCACTTTTTTTCACCAAGCACTATCTGTCTTCGAGAATCAATGAACTCATCACAGGGAAAAAATGTTCTATATTATCATCTTTGCACTTATCTTGTGTGTCAACCAAAATTGTATTTGGTGTCTAGTAATGTGTGACAAACAAATTGATTTGTGAAGAGCTATGTTTCGCATATTTCATGACAAACTTGGGAACTTTTGTGATCATTGAGTTGATACGAATGCTCCTTGATTCTTGCTCGGCATCCAATAGAAGGAAATGTAGATGTGAGTGATTAAAAATATGATCGGAATTCATTGTAATTGTCGAGAGAAAATCTATCCTGAACTACTTGAAGACTGTCTTTCACAGAAGTATTCGTAGAAAGAGACTTAAATAACATAGTATTTTAATCATATTAGATACTATCGTTGGCCTAATGGAACATTCTCGCTCGTACCTAACGGCGGTCTCACAGTGTATTACATTGCTCGCACTGGTATCAATGGAGGTCCACAACATGCCAATCCCAATTGGCAACCGTTTCCCAAAGGTCTTCGCATGATTGCCGGTGATCCCATGCGACGAAACTTCAACCAATCGATTATCGAACATCATGCCATCTCGTTCGTTTGGTGAGTTGACTAAGCATCTGAGAAGTTGTTTTTCGATTTGAATATTTACATTTGAAACTTAGACTTGAATCATTCTCGAACATTTTTTTGCCCTTACTTACTTGCAATTCATATGATTTGTGTATATTTGCCAGAGCTTTGAAAAGGTGGAATATGTGTTGATAAATTCTAGAGAATTCAGTGAGTTTCTAAAGATGATGGAAACATTTACAAACTCTGATATCATTAACCATGAGGACAATCCTTAAGAACATATTTGAATGTGGAAGATATCATTCATGGAGGGCTATTTTTTATCTTTCATTCATTTAAATACTTACAACAGTTTGACGGATTTTGGCATGCCACCTGCACCTGAAACAAATGGATTTCAAACCGATCGATACTTTTGTAAGAATGGTTTTCGCATGCAGGTATTCTTTCCCATGTGTTGGAACAATAAATCACTGGACTCACCAGATCATCGCAGTCACATGGCATATCCATCCCACTATAACGGCGGTGATTGCCCGCCATCACATCCTGTTCGTCTACCTGGAATCTTTTATGAAGCATTCTACTCAGTAGATCAATTTCCACATGGACAAGGCATACAGCCATTTGTTCTGTCCAATGGAGATCCAACAGGCTACGGTTTCCACGGAGACTTTGTAAGTCCTTCACTTATATATAATTTCTTACTTGATCCTTATGTGAAGATCCATTATTCGCCTATTGTACTTCAAAAAAGCTGAAAAAACGTTGCATGATATTGAATTATTCCTTAGCTAATGATAGTTGCCTTTTTTCTTCATTGTAAAATCGATCCTAGTATCGGACACAGAATCTATGGAACAGTATTTATCTTGCAGGTAAATGGATGGGATACGGACGTAGTCAAATCAGTGATTGCCGATGATTCATGCAATGCAGAGAACACCGATAATGGAAACAAGCCTCAAAAATGTTTACCATTGAAACCCTTTGTCAAGACGCGAGTCGATGACGATTGTGAACTAGCCAGGCCGATTCCATTGACTGAGAATATTGGAATGATCGAACCCATTGATCGTTTACCTGGATGTAATCCAATTACTTATTCAAATGCCGTCATGTGTTCGCAAGGAGCCGAACCTAGTAGCATGAACAATGAAGGAACGTTCCATATTCAGTCGAAAATCACCGGTGGTTATCTAACCTTTGATCCTGACACTGAGCGAGTGTTTGCCAATGGTTCCGCAATCAATCTTACCTATCGTCAAGTGTGGGGTCTCGGTTGGGCTCCTCGAATTCAGGGGCACACAGTGCGAAATTCAGAAATCAACAAGCATTTGACCATGCAGGACACACTCAAAGTCAAAGGTGTTGTCATTGATGCTTGGGAAATTTTTTCATTTGAGAAGCAAATCGATAGTGAATATGTAGCCATCAAAAACTTTCGACATGGAAAATATCTCAAAGTTGAAGAAGATTTTACTATTAGCGGCCAAGCCACGTTCATTACTGATGCTTGTCTATTCAAGCTCGTTACACCCAATGGAGGCTTCGTTCCCGAAGGCATTAAGCTTGCTGATCTTCAGCAACTCACTTCTATGATTGGATGATATGATAAGATTGGAATTTTTGTTAAATACATCTAGAGCGATTACGCTTCTAACATCTTCTCAATTCTATGCATCTACTGCAAACTTTTGTGAGATAAAACATTGTCTGACATCTTTGTGCACTAATTACGGCTTTTTCTCGTCCAAGTGTATCACTCAAGAATGAATAGGAAGTTTTGCTGTTGATCAGAAAAAAAAGATATTCGTACTATTCTAAAAACATAATTTTTTTGAAAAATTTGGCCAAAATTACACAGCAAATGAAGCAGTTTCGTTCTTATTTTAATGTAGCCGGTACTGTTCTATATCGCGGTTGAGTGATCGTTAATAGACTAGTAACTCCATTTTTCAAGAACTAATCTTCAGCAGAATGTGGGCGTGGATATAGAGAATATACAGCCTACATCCATGCCCTCGAAAATACTATTCTTAGCATTTGTTTAGTACAATATATCTTTCTGTCGTCGTCTAAGCTGGCTTGAAGCAAGTGAAGAATTTGAAAATTGATGTGCGTGAAGGGTGTTTCAAGATGCTTGTACCATACCTATACCATAAAATCGCACTAAAAACAATGATAAATTGTCGATTTCATTAGAAGTCACTTAGAACATAGAGGTAATTTTTTCCTTTCATAACTGAGAAACATAGCCATCGTATTGCACAACAACCATACGTTTGATAACGAAGCAACATGCGGCGATGTAAATCCAATACGAATAGCGGTAGTCGATATCAAGTCTTCGTTGACCTTGAATGCATAAGTTCGAAATAAATATTCATAAAATTGGGTTTTACCACCCATGCATCATACTCACACCTGTACTCTGTTGAGATGTGAGTGAATGGTTTTCAAAACATTCGGAATAATTTTCAAGTTTTCACGTTCGGTTATTGTTTGAATTACATCATTATGGTTCCAATGCATGAGACTGGTAAATGACACATGATTTCGATTCTAAATACGGTTCTATTTGGTTGAATTACACCCACATCCCGTTGGATCTCACACAGTTGCTATGCCACTAATATTGAGTTTTTTTTACAATGCCAAACACTATTTATTGAATAACTTTTGATCATTCCAAGCTATCGGATTCGGCCTTTCACCGTTAGATAGAACAACCTTGGGGACGTCTATCTGTATGAGATTCACCAGTCTCAAAGAAGCTTTTTTTATCGAAGGTCTGTAATTGATATCACACTAAAATATAATCTGAAGGATTCTGTATTTGCGTTGAAATCTTAAGATTTGAAAGAATCATCGTAGTTGAGACGATGATACAATGAACTGAAAATTTTATCACGTATACAGGATGCTTCCGATCACATTTTGGTGTAATTTGAGTCTAATGTTCTATGAAAACTCACAAAAATGAACAATGAAACATATATTAATTACGGATCTTCCAACCGGAAGCTTGTTTGCCACTAATGAGTCTCATAAAGACAGACCTGCTAAGATTGCTCTATTTAATAATGAAAGGCTGGACTGCATAGCTTGGAATGATCAAAAGTTATTCAAAAATGGTGTTTGGGATTTTTAAAAATCGGCGTTTTTTCAAGAATGGAAAAGACTGAAACTATTATCCACAAAAACATAAATAAAAGCAATCAAGAAACTGTTTCTTTCGTACCTACAACACAAAAAGGCATCTGGTCATTATCTGTATAAAATCAACCATTTATGTTTTGATTTATTTCAGTTTGGTACGATACATGATCTCATCTTAGCAACATTAAAAATTATCAACTAATAGAATGCAAACAAGTATTCTAGGTTTGCTTGCACGCGTTGAGTATCTTTTTCACAGTTGGCAGCGTCGCGATGATGCAGTGACAGTTCATGACAGTATATAGCTAATACCTTGTATAAATATGTTCGAGCTTGTTGCAATTCATTTATTTTCTCGTATACAAGACCTATTTGTTGGTAACTAATTCTAATTTTTGGATGATAAGGAGGTAGTGATTTCAATCGAATTTTAAGCGATTCATTTAAATTTTTCAGTGGAAGATCGTAATGACCCAAACAACGATGAATAACACCTATATTGCATACAACGAACCCAAATCACGATGATTGCTAGGTAGATATTGCTGCACAACAGAAAGGCATTTTTTCTCAAAGTCAAGTACCTCCGAATATTTTTCTTGTGCTTAATAGGTAGCGCTAATGTTGCAATAGATCATGGTTATTTTGGCATGATTTTTTGCATTTGGTTGCCCAAAAAATGACAATGCTGTAATGTATGATTTAAGTGCTTCGTTGTAATCGCCTTTCAGTCGATGAGTTTCGCCAATTAGATTGCGCAATTGTCCGATTCTAGAATGATCCGTTGCATTAGCTTGTATAAAATTTTCGATTGCTTTATCCATAAATTACAGACTCGTGACATTATCGTTTTTGCTTTCGGCTACTACCGATAATTAGAAATACAAAAAAATCGGGTGAAGAATCTTTTCAAGGCAATTTGTTGAGTGCATGCGCAAAGTATTTTTCAGCTAAGTCAAATTTACCCATGTCTTTCAATACATCACCTAATGTACGAATATCTGATGTTCTTCGCCTCTTCATGTGTTCCAAAAGTTGTTTTAACTCTTTCTTATCATCACCATAAAAAGTCATTTGAATTATCCACACTCCATTGGTATCACATTGGATATCAGTAAGACGAAAGATAGAACCGAGCATGAAGAGTACTTCTGACTCGCCTGCGTATTGACTATATATAGTTATGTCAGCGAATGGCTTCACAGTATCACTCCTGAGAACACGATGATCGGCATCGATCTCGAATAACACTCACCGCAGATCATCCATCGGTGCTTGACTACCCAAGAAGGCACATGCTACTTGACGATCTTTACTAGTCGATAAAAACGAATTAATGAAAACAAGCTCACCAATTGAGTACCTCAGAGTATCTAGCTCATCAATGTACATCAACTGACCATGATATACTCTAGTTGGCAATTGACATTGGTAGAGTTTTAATTGTCGAAGAATATGACGAATGAAAGAGCGAAAAAGAAATAGCACTTTAATGTTTTGTACGCGCAATGCTTTGTTCAGCATTCTGTACAGAAATGAAGCACGGGTATACCACAATAATGCTCTATCGCTTGAATATGATTCTAGGTATTCTTGTAGAAGCAATTGATGGTTGTTGTCTTTGTACTCTTAGGTTCATAGAGAATGGAATTCTGTTTTATTCGTTCTTCTGGCTCTCATTCTAAGAAGAACATCCATAAGTTGTTCAGAATGAACGAATTGGCCATCACCTCCTCTCTTAGTGAGAACGTTGACTCCAAGTGGTTCTTCCAATTTTTGTCGACTTTTCTGATCTGGCATAATTCGAGAAATGAGGTCATCGAGTCGAGCAACAATAGCCTTGATCTATAAAGGCAACAATCACTATGCAAATATATTATCACCACAAACTACCTCTGTGAATTGTTTGACCAATTGTTCTTATTCTGTTTTGTTCCTGCTGTAGATATAAATTGATGAGACTTGTTGAAACTGATGAATACGAGGCACTACGTCAGATCCTAATTTGCTACTGACAATCAGTATCACTCGATTTTCTTTGGACACTTGTTCGATGTATCGTTGACATTCATACATATCTTCAAATATCTGGAGATGATTAATAATGGTACGCAGCTCTTTTTGAATATTGCATCATTCTTCGTTCCTGTTTGCATCGTTATCCACCCAAAGCAGTTAAACTGTCTCGAGATTATCATCACATTTCCGAAAAATCGTAAGAGGCAAAACAGCAGTAGCTGAGGCCATTTGGTATCGATTCTCTACAACAGATTACCGTTTTTCAAGTGGAAATAAAGTAAGGCTGATTCCGAGACTAAATATTTAATAAATATATCGACTATGCACCGACTAAAGGTGTACTCCACGCCCTACACTCTCACGCATCACTAATGGCGTATACAGGATTTTTTCAGTACTGGGTCAAACCACAGTGGGTCTCTCTTAAGGACTGAGCAGCCCAGCCAGACACGCTAAAGGCCAAAATGGCGTTTAAAAATCTTAATATGTGAACTATTAAAGATGTTTGATAAGTCGCCAAAACGCGTTAAAATAGTTTAAGATTTTTATTTTGTTAACGCTTTTTTTTATGTTTCAACGCTGGGCGTTATTAGAGCTGACACTATTTTAACGAGTTTTTGACAATTAATCAAACAGTTTTAACAATTTTCAGATTTTTGATGAAAACAGCGTATGTATATACAGAAGAACCACATCCACATATTCATTTTACTCGATTTTAAACAATTGCTCTTGTAATTGCACAATCTCAATTTTTAACAGCTTGTCTAGCAGTTCCAACTCTACTTTGATTGTCAAAGATTAACTTAGTGTCAACCCCACGACTCGTAAACATGAGAAATCTAAAAAAAATCTGAAAAAATTAGAATTTTGCGTTCGAATTTCGAGAAAAGCTCTTGTTTTGGGTATAAATGATTAAGATCGATAACAAGCAGAAGTAGACTATATACGGTTAACAGTTAAGAATATATATTTAAATCGATGGAGTATCAAGAATAAGTGACAGTCATATGATAAATACTGATGTATTAAAGTGGACGATTCGACGAATAATAGATTAGGACTAATGCTTATGTATCAAAAAGATCAGGAAAGAATTAATTAACCCTTATAAGCCCAATGTCCCTTCCAAGGGACATTAGAATAATATCAATCAATTCCACTACAAGAGCTTATATGCAAAAACCATAATTTTTCTGAACTGACATAACCTTAGTGATCATGCAGAGATGAAAATATAATTCTCAAGTGACTCTTAAACTGAACAGTGAATCTTTTACGACTCAAATTTTTTTTAGCGTCATTTTTCTTTTCTGAAGTTTTTTTTATTCATATAAGCGACGTGCAGCTTTGTTTTTTTAAAGAGATATTGTTAAACATAGTGTTAAGGTATCAGATGAAATCATCTCGTAAATTTTAAACCATTCCA